TAGAGGGTGAAGACCCAACCCCTTCCATAGTGGGCTTGAGGTTGTAAGAAAATATGACTTTAGCACCTTTTAGTCGGAAATGGCATTCTCAGATTTAAATTTTAATATAATTCCCCTTTTTTCCCATTTCTTTTATAATTTTGAAAAATTAAGGGATGGGGTCAGGCTAGCTGGGACACCAATGGAATATACCACATTTGAAATCAACACAGTATAATCACATTAGAAATCAACACAGTATAATCTATAATTACTCTAAAAACCGAATATTATTGATGGTAAGAAAATATTATTGGTGTTAAGAAAATTTATGATATTAGCACCTCTAGATGGCTGGAAATGGCACTCTCAAAATAAAATTTTAATATAATTAATTCCCCTTTTCCCCATTTCTTTCATAATTAAAAAAAATTTGGTGGTGGGACCAGGCCGGCTGGGACCAGGCAGGCTGGGACACCTCTTCCATTGATTCTAGAATTGGTCAATCCACAACTATCACCAAATGAAAGCAGAGATAAATAAACATTTGTAGCACTGCACACAAATGGACGTTACTGCTATGAAAGCCCCGCCAATTGGATGTGTTTGTCCTACAAATGCACAGGTTTACATACTTTTACGCTCTTGTTGTTGTGTGGGACCTTTAGCAACAATTGTGTAAAACAAGAGCATATTCTATGGTATGTTCTGATTGGTAGTTGTTTACTTGATTGACACATTTTGGAAAGATCCACTAATGTGTTTGTAAGCTTTGTGAATGCAAATTTTTTTTTTTTATATTTTTTATATTTTTATATATTTTTATATTTTTTATATAACCTTGTAGTAATGGACCTTTCCAGAGTGTCAATCAAACTTAACAACTGACCAATCAGAACAGGGCCAGGAATACACGCATGTCCCACAAATACATGTATTAACATACATTTATGCTAATTGCTTTGTGGGATCTTAACAACAACATCCAAGGAGCGGTGCTTAGCGGAATTAGGTCAATTAGCAGCAGTATCGGTAAAATGCTAACAAAAAAAGTACAGTAAAATGATATTGATGAATGACAAAAAATGATAAAATTATTTATGATAATGAGTTTAAAATAAGGTTTAATTTTATATAAAAATTGATGACTTTGCATGCTCATCATGTAGTGTAGGTATAATAATGGTCAGGCAGGCTGATGACACTTAAGCTGATGGTGATGGTCATGTGAGGGTGATATTGATATGATGATTTATTATTAAAATCTCCTCCTAGGCCCTAATACTCAATACGCCTAGACCCCTATGTCAGTACTCCTCCTAGGCCTACTTAAGTCTAGTCAATGCCTACTAGGCCTAGTACTACCAGCGGAAGCGGCGCGGCTCTCCTAGACAGATGTAATATAATAACTAAACAAGGCTAGGCCTAGCCATACATTCTAAATCAATTGTTTACACTTATTCGCATTATGTATAATTTCTTCAATTATAGCTTCAAGGTCCAATGGTGTAGAAAATGATTGTTTATTGTACAACAAACCTTTAATCATCAAATTCGCATAACAGCATTGCACGTGACTTGGTTTATTCGGACTGCTAAGTATATTACGGTGGCTGATTTCCGCCAAACAGTAAAAAAAAATTTTATTAGGGCGTTAACGCCCTATTAGGGCGTTATAACGCCCTATTACGGCCTTATAACGCCGTAATTAGGGGGATATAACGCCCTAATTACGGCGTTTTAATGCCCTAATTACGGGGTTACAACGTTCTAATCATGGCCGGCGGAACGGGGGGGGGGGTATGATGTCTGGAGACTTTTGTATGATCGGAAATGCAAGAAAAGAAGTAGGGAAGGAGGAGGAGAAGGTTGGGAAAGAGAATTTTATCCAGTACCCGACCGAGTTGCATTTTCTCGCAATTCACATTGGCGGATATGGGGGAGGGGGATCATGGGTTCTGACCCCTCCCTTGGGCAACAAAAAAAGGGAGGGGGAGAAAAAAAGAATTCTAGACCTACCGGTACCTTTTCAGGACCCGTGAGCTGATTTTTTTTTTTTTTTTGTTACATTAAGAAAATTAGAATTTTGAACAACATAAAAGTCATTAAAACACACTTCAAATGTCGGGAAAGCTCAATTCCAGCCATCTAGGAATCAAAATTCCGGACCCCCTTTCTTTTTGGGATTTATCGATCGATTTATCGAAAAAAAATCGTATGCCACTACTCAATTTTTTGTGTAGGCCTATGTATACACACATACGGCCTATCTACCGTAATAACAATGGGAAAAATTTACCTGACCGTTTTCAAGAGGGGAAAACCTTGAATTTTGAAGAACTTTTAAAGTCACTAAAGATACTTCAGAAGTCGGGAAAGCACATTTCCAACCTTTTAGAAATCAACATTTTCCCGAGAAGAACCTGAACCTCCCTTTTCTCTTTGGGTTCACTGATTCATTATAATAATTTTCAAGAGGGGAAAACCTTGAATTTTGAAGAATTTAAAGTAATTAAAAGACACCTCAGAAGTCGGGAAAACTCATTTCCCGCCTTCTAGGAATCAAAATTTTCCCGGGGGAAAACCCTAGGACCCCCCTCCTTTTTGGGATTCATCGATTCATGGAAAATTCGTATGCAACTACTCATTATTTTTTTTTTCTATGTATGTATACACACATAAGGCCTATTTACTGAATAACAATGGTAAAAAATTACCTGACCGTTTTCAATAGGGGAAAACCTTGAATTTTGAAGAACAAGTCATTAGACACCTAGCTCAAAAGTCGAGAAAGGTCATTTCCAGCCATATAGAAATCTAAATTTTCCCGGGGGAGGAATGTTGACCCCACCACCTAGGTTTGATTCCCGATCTACATGATTCATATTCCCATTCATCTTATAAGTGGGCCCCCCACCCACTTTAAAAAACGTTCCGCCGGCCCTGCTAATTACGGCATTATAATGCCCTAATTACGATAACCCCCTAATTACGGCGTTATAGCACCCTAATTTTACGAAAGCCCATTCGTGCCAGAAGTATATGTTAGCGCTACTATTTCGAAATTTCGAATTACTAATTCGTAATTTGAAATTACGAATTATTAGCTCAGTTTGATGCAACTTGATGAGGCGAATTCCAGCCGGGAGGGGCGCAGCTGTCGCCCCACCCCTCCCTATATGGTCCACAGAAAAAAAAGAGAAAGGAAAAATAAAATAAAGAAAAGAGGGACAAACTATTGCTGAAAGTGCAACAACAGTTACGATGATTTTATTCCCGTTAATCTGAGCATTGGCGAATCTGATGGGTGGGGTAGGTCAGTGGTCCTCGGTCCAATTCCTGTCAGTGTTGCAGGATTTTTCTCGCGACCAAAAACAACTCCACTCCCTAAATCTCATAACAGAGATTTAGTTTTTGTAAAACATCGTGTGTGTATGTTTGTTTGTAAAAAGGATTGTCACGCACAAGTAGGACAGTGATATATTCGCTACTGACAATCCTTGATGCATGTGCTGTGTGCCTAAGTAAATAAATAAAATAAAGTTCGATTTTTGGATGACGAATCAAGATTTTTTGTATTATTGTATTTGGATGGTGCTACTGAATAGAATTGCACTCACAATTTAACAACAAAAACAAACAAGTGCAGACCTACAATTTGTAACATTTCTATAATATATATATATATTTCTCTCTGTAGTATTATTAGCAAATGTTATTTTATAAGAAATAAACAACCCCCAAATTCAAAATATGAATGTAAACAATTTGGACAATGTAATTCATAAAACCAAAAGATAATATTAACTTAATCAACATATTCATAATTCCACACGAGAAAGACAAGCAAAACCTAATAATCAAATGAACATACAATTTCAAATGTTAAAATTTTTAAAAAAATGTAATTATTTTAATACAGCTGCACATGCAAATAAATCTTATACTAAATAAATCAATCAATCAAAAATGCATTTATAATAGAAACAATAAATCTATAACTATTTATTATACACTACATTAATCAAACATAGCAGCAAAAGAGCTGAATTGAGTTTTAAATTTATAAGCAGTAAAAGAAGAAAACATCCAAGTAAAATAAAAAAGCATCTCAAAAAACATCAAGTTGGAGTGGAGTTCATATTATTGGAATAGAGTATCATATTATCATTTCATCAGGTAGGTTTTGAAGAGTTTAGTGTTCGTTTTAATTCTGGGATCACTCGTGGGTCTGCTGCACCTGATGAAGCCAGCATACACTGCTGGCGAAATCTTGTGTAATAACAATTTATGTTAGTCGCTAAAAAAGTGCTACTAGTGTTTTTATTTTATAGATTTTCAATTCATCATATAATATCATACACTATGCCTTCCAAAATATCAACAAACCAAAAAAGAGAAATATTCTTTCAAATTAAATTCTTATTCTTCTTTAGGCATAATACATTTCAAAACATCTCATAACAGGTTAAGAGACCAATTAGACATTGTCATCTGGAGCCCCACTAAGGATTCAAGTGACTCTCCTAGATCCTAATGCATTTGCCGAAAACTAGCGGGTGCCTAGAAAAACTGCAGTAATTTATCATTGTGTAAACATTTACATTGTTATAACATTGCAAGAGCTAGCTCTGAGTAGAAGATATTAAAAATAGGCTTCTCATCGGAGCATGAGTATACTGCTGAATCTAGGTCAAAATTACTCTAAACATAGTCCATTACCGGACAAGGTGCTATCCCATTGGTCATTTGTTAAAACGTATTTCCAAATTCCTGATAAAACTACATTCACACTGTACTTGGCATGCCTGTCAAATGAAATGAATTAAATGAACCTTCACATTCCATTTTACAGAAAAATTCCACTACCACAGGGTAGAGTATATCTGCACAAGCACAGTATACTCAAAAATAGTAAAAAGAAAGAGTAATGCCAGAAATAAAATTAAGCTGTTACGAGACGAGACGTAGAACATATTAAATGCATAAAGAATTATTTCAATAAGGGGGTAAAATGTTACAACGAAGAGAGGCCAACATGGGGCTTAACATATCCAACTGGGGCTTATAATAAAGCCCCTTCCCCACTGGCGCAGCCACTGTCTTGTTGAGGTAAATTTACGTTGGCACAGTAAACCTTAATGTACAATTTGAATCACTGAGGTAAATTTATATTGCTAGTTCTGGTTCCGGTAGGTAAAAGCCGACCTCCCTAAGGACACCAAAAGTGTAGGAGTACAACTGGAGGTGTAGAAATAGTGTCGAATGATAGAAAAGGTCCACCACCGCAGTTTAAGACATGCAGCGTCAGTCATCAGGCCGCATTGAGGACCGGATAGGTAGGAAACTCACACGATCCCACGAGCATCGGCTTTGGAAAAACCACATTTGGTAGCGAAATCTCGGAGCGTTTAGAGATAGAGTAAGAGAAAATTACACCTCCAAGAAAAGAGGCGAGAAATCAGGATGTTTTGCAAAACAATAATTTAAGAAAAAAATTAAATCCTGTGAATGACTGTGTATTCTAGTGCAGCAATCTAATCTTAAGTACAATTTACTTAGTTTTGTGTAAAACGAACCACAACATGGTTGGTTTTTATATTAACAGCATCAGTTAACATACAGTTTTAATTATTATTCTGCTGATAACAATTAGAGGAATCTCACTGAAAACCCAATTTTCGGTGAGACAAAAGAAAAAATGTTGTTTTTTTTCCAAAAACCATAGTTTTCACATATGGTGTACTGGATGTTTAATTATTACTAATGTTACTTGCCATAATAATTTTTTTTATAATAACCTATTATTTTGACTGAATAAAGATTATGAAATGGTAAAATACAAATGTTGGGAAATAACAAAAGAAAAAATGCTAATTTGCAAAGTCAATTCATGATTATTATATTAAAATGTAAATTTTATGAGTATTTACAATATTTGTGTGTAAATTCTGTACTAACATCATGGTAAAAATGAATATTACACGCAATATTTTTGCCTGTAATCATCTTTGGACATTTCCCACATCTCACATAAAAATTAAACCTTCTGTAAAATATTACAAATCTGATATTTTGTATATTTCATCAATAATTATTCTAATAAATAAATTTAATTAATTTTGGAATCTAGTACTTGTGAAATAGAGTTTTACTTTGATGTCAGAAAATATAATTCAATTTCTTAAATACTATAAATATATGAAATCTATAATTGAGAAATTGTTACTATATAATACATCATTGAAGTATTATTACTGTTATTCTTATTGCTTTTTGTTTATAAATATTTTCTCTTATGCCTATCAAAAATTTTATAAACATATTTCATGACATTCAAGTACAACCTATTTCCACATTAAACACCAAAAGTACACCAAAATTAAATCTGGAAACAATACAGTATTTTGTGGCAAGAGACATGCTTCAAAAGTAGAATCCTTTTATAAAAAGTTGTATTATATAGAATGCTTAAAAGCTATAGTATTCTAAATGCACACCATCATTCTTATTTAATTGCATTCGAACACAATATATATTTTTTTCAAAAGACTATAAAATCTTTACATGTTAACATTTCAACTTACTCTAAAGTTTGGTTTCCATACAGTCACTGCACTGTTGCTACAGTGATTTTCAGTGCAATTGTTGTACTGTGTATCATTCCCCGATACAACCCGGGAAGGCTCCCCGATTCGACCGACGGATCACCATCACCGAAAGCTGTCAGTGTTAGTGTGTAGCAATTGTATGGAATCAAGATTAAGAATGGATATGACAAGAGAATTGTCAGTATAGAGGTGTATGCTACCTTTTACCCACTTTTATAAAATCTGTATTTCATTGGCTGTATTCTCTACAATTTTGATAGTTTATTTTTGATGTATCTTGAGACTATCTTTTGGGGATGCATCTCCATAGCCTTGAGTTCATCTTTTGGCGTGCTTACTTGGTCACCTTTGAGCCTATTAAGCAGAGTCACACAGACAACAGCACCTATGGAGACAGTTAAAACAAAACAAATTAAGTATACAGGAGAAACCTTTTTTTTTTTTAGATCATCAGAGGAGGGCAACAAAATTTTGTTTTCTTATTTAGCAAATGGTTTTGCCAAAAACATCCAGATAGAGGGGAAAATGAAAATAAAATTTTATTGTTGAATGGAAACATAGTAATGGGATGGCTAAATATTTTTATATCAATATATTTAGGAAGAAATACACATATCTTATTTTTTTCTGAAATTTCCATTTTTTGTGGCTACGGATGCACTAATTGGCCAAAAATAAAATTTTATTTTTTTTCAAAATCATCATTATTAGTGGGCGGCAGGTTTGCTAAACAGACATTTATTTGAGGCCTTAAAAAGATAATATTTAATTGGAGATGGTCATTGATTGGAGGGATCTTTAGATATCTATTTAACATGAGAAAATTTTTCTACCTTTTATAATAAATAACTGAGAAAACCATGAATAAATACAAGAAAAAAGAATTATGCTTTTCTGTAAGGTAATGTTAAGAATTATAATAAAAGTACAGGTCTTCCTTATTTAAAGACCACTTTTGGGATAAGGGTTTTTATGGTCTTGTACAGACACAGATACAGATACAGATACAGCTGTATAGATACATATATAGCTGTACAGATACAGATATAGCTTTGCTCTTTAATTACAAAATTTTTATTACATATTAGGCAGGGGTGGCAGTTGTGGGGAATATGACACCCTAAAATTAAATAAAGCCTTTTAAATTCATAAATTGTAAGAGTTTCTTTTGGCTTGGCCCCCTGGGCCACCTCTGACAATTTCTGGGATGTTCTTGGCTCCACCCTTATGCTCCATCAGGGAAATTGGACATTCCGCCAGAGGAAGTGAACCCCATCGAGGATATTGGATTCATTTCTCTCATGGACCTCACCACCTCTGGTAGGCCATCAATTCAGTGGCGGCGCCAGCAGGGGGGTGGGGGTGGGCAGTGGGGCCTTACCCCCCACCGACAGGTCAAGTCCCCCTGTCGGACAGAGCTCGTCGGGCAGTCAGACCATAAAAAAATATAAAAATAGGCCCACACCAAGCCTGTCACAGTCTGAGAGTGCCATTTCTGGCCATTCAGAGGTTCCTATTCTTAAAAAAATCTCATCAAACCCTTCTCCCAGCTTGGGCCTAGGAGCAAGTCCCCCTGTCGGACAACTTAGCCCCCACAGAAAATACCTCCTAGACTAGCCGCCGCTGCACAAATTAGAGCAAAAATTCATTAAGTGGAAGAATCATTAATTAGAAGATGACTGCGTTAGTATACAAAATATTACCTGGTATACCGACTTTCTTACACATGGCTGCAAAGCAAGTGGCCTCCATTTCAATATTTCTTACACCTATTTCTTCAGCTTTTTTTAAGTAAGCCATTTTATCATCTTCAGTGTACTCGCACACAGCACCATCCAAACGTCCCTGACCTTATAGTAGATGACAAAACACATCACAATTTAAGAAAATGGTTTTAATTTATAATACAGGTATACACTATTTTAAAACCAAGTTACCATATGTCAGCATCAGATCCTTAGTTTGAAAAATATATTATATAAGTTTTATACATACATCATATTATATTATATACAATAGTATCACATTCATATTCTAACAGAGTATAGATATAAACAATAAAACAATATAAATGTAGACTTTAAAAACACTGATTTCATTTGTAACTCTTATATATTTGGTGCTCTTGTTATGCTCTAAAACATTGATATTTCCTGTTAAGAGTAGAGTTTGTTGTCTATCATAAGAAAAGAAAATTAAAACCCAGGACAACCACCTTCCGAAGGAATGAAGAGGGGTCAGGTATACATAAATAAAAAAAAGTGATGAAAAATGTTAACCACCGTATTTCGGACAGCTGCTACAATTTGCCCTCCAATTCGAGACTACATTTGGGAACTGAAAATTTCCGGGGTGGTCTTGGAGTTCGGTCTCCCTTTGGAGGTTAGCTTAATGTTAATAGATGGAAGATTGTAATTTGGTTTTCTGGAAAAGTGGTCTCAAATTAAAGGGGTCTTGGATTAAGAGGGGTCTTGAAATGATAGTTGCACTGTACTTTATAATCATTAAAATTTAGAGTCTGAACACTTAAAAAGCCAATTCTTCTGGGCCTTACTACATTCCCTGGACTCCACCCATAAACTCTGCAGAAGGCCCGGTCAAACCATGGGATATTGAGGCCCGGCAGCTGTATAATTCCGTAATTAACAAGGCAGCAATGCCAAATTTAAAGTATCACAGTATTTTGCAAACACTGTGAAACACTACTATTATTTCTGAATACTGTATACTCATAAGCTGATTAACTTGCCAGGTTAAACCGGTTACCAGAATGGAAAATGAAAAAAAAAAGAAAGATAAATTGCACATATTGATGATTTCTTTGTACCTTTGTGACAATATGTAATCAACGCAAACAAAATAAGCTTGTGATCGCTAATGGATCTGCTGTGAAAACAACCCAATGCCATTACTGGTGGAAACAGCCCAATGCCATTATAAAATCAATTGAGATCAATATATATATATTTCATCATAATATACAAGAGCATTATTATTTCAAAATGTGCATTTATATATTCTCACAAACATGATATACTGGAAAATATAGTAGTATGATTATATTAAAAAAACAATATTTATTTTTTTAAAGTTTCTTTATTTAAGTGGATCTGTACCAATCACTAATTAGATAAAACCATATAAACATGTATTTTTTGGATGATGTACTTAGTAATACATCAATCTTGCAGTATCTATTCAAAATTAATTTGTTACACATAATATCTTGCATTTATACACTTAGAGTTGATTATGTTTCCTTATATTAGTCAATAACTCACCACTTAAGTTCCCATCTCATCAAAAATGGTTACTATGCATTTCTAAATAAACTTTTTGTTACCATGGCTAAAATTACTTACAAACTGCAATGTTGCAAAGTAAATATAGTTTTTTAAGGTCTCCAAGATCAATTTTTCTACTTAAAGTAAGGAGATGTCTGTTTTGTTGCTTACTTAAGTAGTTTTACTATTCAAAGCTGCCAGGGTCTGAGTGATATTTCATATTCTTTTTTTATATTCTTTCTTCATATTTTTTATTCTTTTATATTTTTTTTTTATTCTTTTGCTTGTTTTGTTTTATATTTTGTAACTTTAATGACTGTAATATAACAGTAATATATTTCTTACATCTTTTGCATATTTAACAATTTATTTAAGCTCCTGGATACAAATTTTGATTGTACTGTGTTGTATTGTCGACAATAAATATTGCTTGATTCATTGGGTTATTTGAGATAAAGCATAGGCCTATCAAAAAAGACAAGGTGATACCAAACAAGACTAGTCAAAATATGAAGGTGCCAGTACACTAAAACTACCATGCATCAATGCTAATTCGTAAATAGAATTTTATCCCTATGGTTTTCCACAATCATAATCTGATTACTATAATAGACTCAGATAAAGCTGTTAGCCAGCTTGACTTATAAAATAAAAACACTGGTCGTGCTTTGTAGACTAACTTTAGTAATTATTGCACTTTAAAAGCAGCAGTAGTCTTGCTGGGTTTTTACAAAAATTGCACTGCCGTGATTAAGAAGTGTACAACTGATGAAGCCCACCCCCAAAAAAAATTATTTGATTGACATGATTGAGATAATACAAACAATTAAACTATTTACTATTTAAATGAAAAACAGAAATTAAAAAAAAAAAATTGTTTTTTCCAAAATCATAGAAGACATGCGGGTGGTGGTGATAAACTACTGTAATCATTTTTTTTTTTTATTGGGCCAAACCAAATAAGAAAACAAGTATTGTATCACATAAAGCACACTGGTCCTTGAACATGCACTTGGTCCTTGAACTTGCTGCAAAATTAACACTGCCCTCATAAGGCAAGACTTTTTTTATACCTTGTTTAGCATACCTGCTACCTCCCAATAATGACAATAAAAATAAAATTATATTTTTGGCCATTTAGCACAACCCACTGATACAAAAAAAATGGAAATTTCAACAAAAAATTAAAGTTTTTCTTTACTTTTATTACGTTTTCCGCTGCCTTGAAATCTCTGAAAATCAGATATATATTATTTCTTCCTAATTATATAAAGTGAAAGCATTAAACCATTCCATTACTACACTATTTAAATTGACCAATAACATTTTTTTTATTTTCTCCTCTGGATGTTTTTGGCAAAACTATTTGCTAAATAAGAAAAAACATTCTTTGTTTTTGTTTTTTTTTAATAATGTACACACTGAATTATGATCAAAATACACACTGGACAACGATTATTGTGAGGACTCAATAATTCAATTTACTTATTTATTTTTTCAGATTTTTTTGCACAATCAAAATTTTATTTTTATTTTTTTCCACTCTCATCTGATGATCTTCCAAAAAATAAGGTCACAAAACAAGTATTGCCTCCTAAGTAATGTGAATTAAAAAATCTCTTTCATCAGGTAGATGTATATTAGCAGTAGTCTTAATGATTTTATGCTTTCAATTTTTTTATAAATACAAATAAACTATCGTTTTGATATCTAACAACAATAGGCCTGAAGTTCAAATTTCTAATTTTGTTTCCAATAATATAAAATTCTGAAAGGCTAATGTTCCTACACTACATCCTTTGTTCAAGTTACATTGTGGTTGTGTTGGTAACCTACATAAATATGGTTTCTGTTACCAATAATAACAAAAAGCATTGACTACACTACAGTATTTTTTTCCTGTAGTCAATGAAAGAGGGCAGTAGACATGATAAGTATTATAGAAAGTACTGTATCAATGAAACAATTATACATTTATTTCTTCTTTATTCATTCATTCAAAGTAACATATATTTAATTCCTTTTCAATTCGTACAAAAATATAAAACAAGATCATAAAAAATTCTTCTTTCAACTAAGATAACTATTTCTCCCAAATTTTAATAACAATAAAATAAATATAACATAATAAGAATATTATTAATTTACGTCGTTAAATAATAGTGCATGGATTGAGGATGGATTATTTATTATCAGTGGGGTCATTCTTGTGGTAATAGTGCATGGATTGAGGATAAATTATTTATTATTAGTGGTGTCATTCTTGTGGTAATTGGGCAGAACACCGGGGGAAAAAAATCTGCTTTTTTCAGAACAATTTTGTGTTCTTCAAACTGGGTACTCCAGGCGGCCAACGGTCATCGGCAACTCGATTCGATGAAGAACGCAACGGACAACGCACATACAGCGGATCATTTTTTAACGACGATCCATTCAGCCTGCCACCAACATCCAGCAGACGGTGACGTGTCGTCTAGAGCTCACAGGGTGCGAAGCTTGATTCGCAGTGCAATGGTTGTAGGGCAGGCGTACGTCATAGCCTTTATTGGATGCAGAAACAATGGTGCAAGTCTATTCTGAAGGACAATACACTATTGTAAATTTCATTGAATTGAACCAGAGGCAATGGCAATGGATCCTTCCAGAATTCCAATTTAACTTAACAATTGACCAATCTGAACAAAGCCAGGAATATGCCTTACAAACACATCACAGGTGTAGGCTGGGGGAGGGGGGGCTGCACAAGCGAGTTAAAACATTAATAGTTCCACATTCTCAATTTTCGCACTCCTCCAGGATGCCAGGTTACGAACCTGCATATTATGTGTTGTCCCACAAATGCACATATTTACGTACATTTACACTTGTTCTGTTGGACCTTCGCAATGTTATCCAAGGAGCAGGACTTAGCGGAAATATCTATTTAGCTGGGGGCGGATGCAGAGGGGTTGCAGATGGTGCGACCGCACCCCCCTGTTGTATTTGTATTGTTGATATGAATTAGCGTTAAGATTTTAAAGGTATGACAGTGCTATTTCCGGGCATCTAGAGGCTCATATTCTCAAAATATTCACACTTTAGCCCCAACCATGGTGGGGCTGATGTGGTGTCGACTTTCACGCACCCCCTACTGACAAATCTTGCATCGCCCCAGTAGTAGAACCATCACAATGTTACAGCTAAGACTGTGTATTTAATTGTCATTGACCTACTGTTACATATAATATTAAGATAACTTAATATAGGCCAAATCAATAAAACCATTGGACTGAACTTTTACCTCACTACCCCATTACCTCACTAACCCAGTGGGCATCTGTTAAACCGTCTTCTTAATTGTTATATATGAAGTCTTTGACAGGACAATAGCCAATTCATGACAAAAAGCCCAAGTGGTTAATTCCATACATTTGATTTATAAAATAAGCTCAATTGAGAGACAGCTCGTTACAAAATATAAGTTAAGTTCTACCCCCAAAGTTGTTATAGTATCTGACCAATAGAAACTCCCCAAAATGATGTAATAGTCAAATGATTAGGATAAGGTGATATCTTTCAACCCATCGGAGAAAGTCCACCACACCCCAAGCTTGTATGAAAAGTAAAGTATTGGTTATCTAGAGAGGACTTCCTTCTGATACCTTGAAGGAAACACTACGTCTCACAACCCTACTTGTATATATTGTATATACCATGCAGTCGAATAGTAAATAAACGCTTTGCATTATAACCAGAAGAGATGTAGTCAGTTCAGTTATTTAAAGTAAACCATCTCGCTTGTCATATCACTACAATCATAGTGAAGATCCAGTCTTTGCATCCGGAACATACATTGGAATCGGGCACACCAACTTGAGAATTACATGTATATAATATCTACCAACATATAAACTTAGTGGATTGAGATAAGGACCTAATCGCATACAATCTATTTATTTATCTCAACCAGGGGCTTAGCCAGAAAAATGAAATAGGCTGTCCGAAATGGACCTTATGATCTTTAGAGGGCATTTAAAGGTGTTTTAATATTGGAAGTTTGTTTTCAAAGGAATAGTGTTTTTGGGAATCTGGTATGAAAGCAACGTACATTCAATCAATAAAGGTGTTTTTATCAAACGTAAATATGATTAAGTTTTTGTTTAATGTAACATTTGATAATAAATTCGAAGAATATAAAGAATTTGCTAAAGGCAGACCAGGCTCAATTAGGCTATAGGCCAAGCCGTCCAAGCCATCATGGTAAAAGTGGCCGTCCTAAATAATTGCTATCCAAAAGACAACCCACTGCTGGCTAAGCCTATGCCCCTCTACTCAACACCATTATTTCTAATTCCATCACCATCTGCCTGTCTCTGAACAGTGTTAAAATATAATGAAGATTTCAAACAATTTCAGCCTACTAGCAAATGTTGAGTCAAGAGTATAACAAAACACAGTAGATGCAGATGAGCAATGGAAGAACATAAACCTAACCAGACTATCAAAATCTGTGACAAAAATCTGTGATATATCCCCATATTAGGAAGTAGTATGATATCATCCTGCAATATATGGGCACATCACACAAATTTGTCGCATATAGTAACTTGATATAGTGTGGATAGAGCTCTTAACACATGCTGTCCAGTATGTACTTGTGGGACTTTCAGTTTCCAAATTAAAACAAATTGAAACTGCAAGTCGTACTGTTGAACAGATTTCTAGGAATTTGCTGACAGAAACCAACTAGGGGTCTGAATAACCTATACAAAATGCCATTTATTAACCTATACAAAATGCCATTATAACTATTTCTTCAACACATAATGACCCTGATGTACAAAAAACACAATTGCCACTTTTATTGAATAATAAAATCAGAAAATATGCATGAAAAACAAATATGAATAGGTTATTTTCTAGGCCGTACAAAGAAGGCTTGACATTAGACTGACAGAGGCTTCTCAGCTGGTGGCAGCGGGCCATGAGACTACAATGATGAATAATGGTAGTTATAATGACTTTGATATTGCTTACAATTATGATGATTATGATTATAATTTAACGATTATAATTCTGATTGTGGTAATATTCAAGAGGCAAAGACTTACAAAATGCTGTCCAGTCCATGTACTTGTGGGACTTTCAGTTTCCAAATTTAAACAAATTGAAACTGCAATTCGTACTGTTGAACAGATTTCTAGGAATTTGCTGACAGAAACCAACTAGGGGTCTGAATAACCTATACAAAATGCCATTTATTATTCAACTATTTCTTCAACACATAATGACCCTGATGTACAAAAAACACAATTGCCACTTTTATTGAATAATAAAATCAGAAAATATGCATGAAAAACAAATATGAATAGGTTATTTTCTAGGCCGTACAAAGAAGGCTTGATATTAGACTGATGGAGGCCTCTCAGCTGGTGGCAGCGGGCCATTATGAGACTAAAATGATGAATAATGGTAGTTATAATGACTTTGATATTGATTACAATTATGATGATTATGATTATAATTTAACGATTATAATTCTGATTGTGGTAATTCAGGAGGCAAAGACTTACAAAAAAAATCTGCTTAAATCTAGGAACATAGTCGACTGCATTGTCCGGCATTTACAAAGTTTAAATAAAACAAATCCATGGGGGTAAACAGAGGGTTCCGACTCAGCCCACCCACCTCCCATGGTGCCATTAGTTCCACTAAAAGTGGGTTAAAATACAGGCTGAAACCAGACTACATCCATAATCTGTATCTGTACTGCACTACACCTCAATGTTACATGTGCAGGCACAGATGGCATACTGAGTACCTCAAACATTATTCAACAGCCAGCATTTCTCCTGGAAGATTAGCAGACTTACATTCGTGGCAAACAGGTAAACTGATCGTAGGCCTACCCATTGTTGTGCAAGTTTCATAATTCATAAATTAGTAACAATCAATTATATTACTGCAAATAATTAGCTCTTTATGTTTCAACTAGCATTTATTGCATTAGCACACTGCCCTTCAATTAAACTCTCTGGAATGTAAACCATGCTTGGCAGAGATAATTGATTATTACAGTTACTACCAGTAGCTTGATCCTTGTCTTGCTATCTGTAGTTTCTGTTTTCTAAGCATTCACTTCTGATATTTTCTAAACATTTGATGCCAGCTATCTGTCACAGTGTTAATTTATCATAATGCGAAAAATTAGTCAAATTCTTAGAATTTACAATATACAGGTATATGGAAATATTATTTCTTACATTTACCTACTGTACAGAAAACATTCATAGTGACATGCTCATCATTGCTACAGTCATTTACCACAGTTTCTCCACATCCCAATGTACCAGCCTTTTCTCTGCAGGCATAAGCCCAGGGTATAATTTGAATGAGTAGCTTATTAGCTGACTTTTAAAAATATATCATATACTGTATTGGCTTAGAATTGGTATGCACATTAGCTCAACCCGCCCTCGATAAACTAACGTTACGTTATCTCACTATATTAATTGGATTTAACACATTATCAAGGATAAATACTGAGTGTTTAACACTGGTGTCCTTGGATTCAATTATAGGTAAACGGATTAGTTGCCTTTTTTATGAGGTTTTAATTGTTCTTTACCGCCGAAAGTGCGGTATTCTAACGTTAGTTTAAGGAATGATGAATGAATGAATGATGAAAATGTGCCTTTTGATTAAGAAGGTGATTAAAACCAGGTGTAAGCCCCCCTCCAAAAGTTGGGGGGGGGTTGGAGGACTCATTTGGGAACTCGGAGGGGAGGGGGAAGATTCACCAGAAAAAGGGGGGTTGCCCGAAACATAAAAACACCCCCTGGCTACGGGCCTGGTCATTATGAATATGTTATGGTACATATAGGAGGGGCTGAAGAGTTTTGAAGAGACAGAATCTAACAGGAGAATCAGTGGCATATCTAGGGGTGTACAGGGTCCCCCCCCCAAAAAAAAAGCTCAAACCCCAGACCTATCACCTTATTTTATGAGCTAGTGCCTTCTTACTTAATCATCAAGCCCCCTAGCACCCCCACTTAATCTTCACTGTCCCATCAATCTCCTCATTTTAATACTCCTAGATACACGATTGTTCCCAAATACTTGCGAAAAATAATTTGCAAGTTATACGTGTGAGAACTGAACCCACGACCTCCACACAACTAGCCTGGTGCCGTAACCACTAGACCACTGAGCTTGCGCTTAGTGAGAGTAGCAGCGGGTATTGCAATGCAGCAGGATACTCAAAATTACTTACATTCATAAAAGTCTGAAGCACTCATAGTTTTCCCTTTAACAACTTCAAACTGATCCCCTTCTTGTTTACTTTTTAGTAAGTCCTCCATCAATTTCTTATCCAGTTCTGTCTCTCTGCTAACAGTATTACCTAAGATAACCTAAAAAAAACCCAAAAAACAAATATTATAAAACAATAAAACAATTAACTAAATGTACAGGCAGCTCTTCACAGCACATAATTTCATTCACAGTGGTAGAACCTTTTTCTGATTTTGTGTTCTTTTTTCATGACTTACAACATCATATTGCGGCTTGAGCATCTCATTCACGGCAGTCTCCGTGACAACCACAGTACCGGCAGCTACTCCGATGCCTCCAGATGTACCAATACGGATCATGACAACATCTTTACATCCAGCATAGTACAGAAGTTTGACAATCTCGTGGAGTAGAATACTCAATGATGGCATTCCCATTCCATGCTGTAAATTGGGGGAAAAAATGGCATTAAAAATAATAATAATAATAATAATGACAACAAGGCATGTAGACTATTGAACACTGTATTTATTTTCAAAAGAAATTTTCGGCCAGTCCACTGGCCTTCATCAGCATGAATGCAGTAAGCTGATGAAGGTATCATGAGTTACGAAAACATTATATACCACTAGTAAAATAGCTTTTTAAAAGCCATCAACAATTTTAAAACACTGAAGCCCTGTCAAGATTATCAAATTTTCTTTGACAAAAAATGGCTGTACGCCAAAGATACTAGAAATACAAGATAGAGTTCTCCACACAAAAAAAGTGTTCCACCGAAATGCATGGTGGGAATACGAAAAATGGGACGCCCCCTACAGCTGGATCTAAAAAAAACATCTGCCATTCGTTACCAAGTCGTCGCGTATTTTATTATCAATTCACTTTTTATTTATTAGATATAAACAAACTGGAATAGACACCCAGACTGTGACGTCGGTGCACATAACCTCCTTGGTGGCGGTAGAAATCGTTGTTATTATCCAAATAAAACACAAAACAATTAAAGCATAATCATGAATCATGGCCGGCGGAAGCGGGGGGGGGGGGGCGGGGGCC